GCGGGGGTGCTCGTCGGGGGTTTCGCGGGGCCGCCGCCGGCGTGGGGGGGATCCCACCGCCGTTGCGAGGCAAACGACGAACAGGAGGGGTAAGGGGGGTTCGAAGGACCCCCGCTCCCGGCCACGTCGCCGTGGGAGAGCTCGAGGGGGTGCTGGAGCGCGTAATAGCCGCCGCTCGGCACCGGCTTGGACGCCTCAAAGGCTTCATAGCTGGGAGACGTGCTGCTGCGATCGCGCATTGGGTTCGTTTGGTTTGGTTCAACCCCACACCGGTTTGCCGTTTTTCACACCCCAAAAAGGGCCTTCCTCGAGGCTTGGACACCCTCTACGAAACTTGGGTCGGTGCGGGATGAACGCTCGGCCGGATGGACTATAGGAGTGAAAGGGGTCTACAAAGAAAACTACCGTAAATATTTTCGCTTAAACCCTTTTCTAGAGAAATGTGCCAATGATGCATGCCAGACACTACGGTTGGCCTTTCGGTCTCTTAGCTATGGAAGGGTTGCTGGGGGTGTTTTCTTGGCTTGGACTTCCAAATTTCTACCTCCCCAAGATATATCTGTAGGTGTATAGATCTATATATATATATATATATCTTCTACCAATATACAGAGATGGGGTTGACAACGAAGGAAAATGGTGCAGCTTACTTTCAAATACTTGCGATTCTACTCTGATTTGTGGAGTCCTACAGCAGTGACAATGTGACCTTTACTATATAATACCTTTTACTCCTACTTTTTGTTTTAAGAAAATGTCGAAAGCGTTTGTGTGTTTTCCTTTTTATTTAAACAAAAAATCAAACACTAGTCCAGATTTTTTTTGTCGTCTTTATATTGTCCGGTATGTATACATATATATGCTTACACAATTCTATAGTAAGGTAAATCCAAATAGAACGAATCCAACCTTGGTGTGCTTTATTACTAAAAATTTACTGAGGTAAAGGTACACACAAAAAAAAAAACTCAGCTAGAAAGCTTTTGGAGGAGGTCGATAAAAATCCAGATGAAGCAGGAAAGGAGATGTCGTCTCTATAGTAAATTTTCAATTGAAAGGAATTTTATTTTCCATTTCAAGTCTGTGTAGAATACCACGTACCTTTAGAGTTCATCAAACGTCGCTTTATGTACAATAAAGTTTAACAATCCAGAAAGAGAAAGATGACCGATTCAATGCGATTTCTTTCATTTTTACTATATAGATGTCATACAAGGTCTAGCGGTGCACTAGAACAACCTATTATTTCATTAGCAAGATATTCTCTTCTCTTCTCCCCCCTCCCTTCCGCCTCTGTCTGGTATAAAGAGATCGAGGCTGAAGTGATATCATCCATGGGCTATCCTCCATCCCTACCACCTGCGCGTAAGTCTCTTCAACGGTTTCGCGCTTACGACTTCCACACCTGCCCGCCCCTAGCATGATCTACTTACACGCCCTCACGCCGTCAGTTCAGTTCATCCTCTAAATATTTATACTCAAAGACGAAGTCGTCGACGGTTTGTTTTTGCCAGGTATCTTCGTAATCAAAGTAGGTGTACGCACCGCGTTCGCTCTTCGCGGTCGTCTCCTTCGGCTTCTCGCGGCGCTGATACCACCGCTTGAGCTCGGTGTGGAAGCGGAAGGAGTGCGCCTTCAGCTCCTTTGACGCGAAGTACTGCTGATAGGACTTTTGATGATAATAGAAGATGAAAAAGAGCGTTTCGAGGTCGAAATGGCGGTAGATCTCGCGGCTGGAGAGCACCGGGTGGACGTCCTGTGGGAAGTACGGGATCGGGTCGATCGCGTTCGGCGGCTCGTACGGCCGCTGCCGCTCCACGTCGAGGGTGTGCGGGAGGTTCGCGAGCGACATATCCAGCAGCGCGAGCGTCGTCGCCGCGTTGTAGCTGCATTTCGGGTTTCGCACGACGGAGGGGGCGCTTTGGGGGCTCGCGGAGAGCGAGGAGGAGGCCGGCGCCGGTGGCACCGGCGTTTCTTTTTCCCCAGACGTCTCCGGTAAAGGGGTGCTCGTCGACTCCGCGGGCGTCGTCGTCGCGGGGAGGGGGTTGGGAGCGGTAGGGGGGGCGGCGATCGTGGGTTCCTCCGGGGAGTACGTCTTCCGCAGCTCCGACTTCCGCCCTTCCCAGTCATTCGGCGACATCAGCTTCAGCGTGGCGTTCGCCATCTCGGCGAGGGTGCCCGGGTTCGCGATCTCCATCGCCTCACCGCCGAAGGTGTCGTCGTTCGCGTTGTCAATCGACTCATCCATCCACTGCGAGCCGACCTCGTCGTCTTTGACGAGGCCGACACTGGGCGTCTTGAGGGCCCCCGTCGTGGAGGAAAAGGCGTTCACGGAGACTTTGGAGGGGCTCACCGCCGTCGCGCGGCCGTTCGACGCCGCCGCGCCGTTCTTCCCACCCTTTCCCGTGGTTTCCTTCTCAAAGCTATTCCCGGTGCCGGGGTTCGGCAGAGGCGAGGGCGTGATCTCGAGTTTCGGGGTCGTGGAGGGGGATCCGGCGGATTTCGCGCCCCCGGCGGCCGGCGGATCCGGAATCGAGCGCGATTTGCTCCGCAGCGAGGCGTCCTTCCGCTCCTCCTCGAGCTTTTCCTCGGCGAAGTCCTCCGCCACGGGCTTCAGCTTCGGCTCCGGGATGTCAAAGTCGTCGTACATGGTCATGTTCGAGATGCACGCCAGATCGGCGTCGTCCTCCAGAACTTTTTCGATATTCTCGCGCAGCGCATCGACCTCCTCCGGCTCGACCTCCTCGTTGCTCACCATCCGCAAGAGGGACTCCCACTTAAAAATATGGACGTTGAGCTTCTCCAGGCGAAGCTGCAGCTCGGACTTCGCGCCGCCTTTGTTCGGAGCCCGGCGGCCCGAGCGAGCTGCGCTGCCCTGCTGTTTTTGGAATTCATACTCCATGATTTCAATCTTCTTACGCCCTTCCTCGATGGAGGCTTTTAGCCACGCTTCGGTCTGCGCGAGCGGGGCTTCGGCCCAGTCGTTAGCCGCCAGGGCAAGTCCTTCCTTGCTGAAAGTCTTTGTCTTCATCTCACGTTCACAGACTTTAAAGGCCTCCATCTTGGCTTCGATTTTTTTCCGAAACGTCTCCAGCTGCTTGGTATCCTTGACGTCGGAGCTGGCTATGAAGGACTTGATCTGCTCTCGCTGCCGTTGCAGTTTCTTGATTTCCTTCTTAAGCTCCCCTTCTAGACGTTCTTTTATGGTGAGGTTTGGGGCATTTTCAAATTTATCAAAGAGCTCCTCGTAGAAATCCAGCCCCTCGCTCGTCTTTTTCAAGAGACGGTAGATGTCTACCTGCACCTTTCTGTTGTTCGCCATTGGTAATATACGAAATATAAAAACGAAAAAATCAATAAGTCAGTGAAGAATACAATTAAACTAAGGGTCGAAAGCTACGACCAGAGTATACACTGATAGCCCTTCACAGATAATAAAAGAAATTTACTTGAGCTATATGGATGAAATTCTAACTTCAAACGTAGCGAAGGAGATTGTATTGTGAAATAATAATAATAATAAGAGAAAACTAATGCAACGCAGTATGTGCAGACCAGACCAAAACGCCACATGAGTGAATAACGAGTAAAGAACGCAAATCTCTCATTATCTTACTGTCGTCGAGAATAGCGTCTCCCAATGAAGCACACCGGGGGGGAGGGGGGAGGAAAGCGATTCCGGCCGACTCCCTTCTTTTTCCCTTTCCCTTTCCCCCTAACCTCATCACACCCAATTCTTAATCGCCCCATCCCACCCCGCCGTTACAACCCGCGACGCCTCCAGCGGATGCCAGGCGTGCGAGACGAGCATCTGGGAATGAGCGCGGAACCCCCGCACGAGGGCGCCGCTCCCCCACTCCCAGACGAACAACCCCCCGGTGAGATCCCCGCTGGAGAGAAACCGCCCGTCGCGGCTGATGCCGAGCCGACAAGAGGTGCCGGAGATGTTATGCCCCGTAAACCCCCCCCGTCGAACCGGGCTCAGCCGCCCCCCACCGAGGTCTTTGAAGAAAAGCACCCGATTATCCAACGACTGCGCGGCGAGCAGCTCGGGTTGGGTGGGGTGGGCGAGGACGTGCGTGATCGCGTGGCGCCCCGCGTCGGCGAACTGGCGGATCTGCACCGCGACGCGATAATCCCAGGTCCGCAGGGTGCGATCCTCCGAGGTTGTGAGGATTTTGGTCGGGTCCCGCAGCAGGCTGAGGTGGAGGATCGCGCCGAGGTGCCCGGTGTACTCCCGCTGCCCCCGACTCAGGCTCGCGCGGAGGTCGTACAAGACGACCTTGCGATCGAGCGCGACGAGGAGGTGCTCGGGATCATTGGGCGGGTGCAGATGCTGCAAGGCCGGGAGGCCGTCCGGGTTGGTCAGGACCCCGGCCGCGACCCCGGCCTCGACATCCCACATCACCACCGTGCCGTCGAGCGAGGCCGTCGACATCCGCGCGGCGTACGGGG